ACTTGGCGTTCTGTATGCTTCAGTTACCTGAATGTCAGATTGTTTCCTCATATTTGGGAAGTTTTCTGCTATTACTTCTGCCCATATTTTTTTAATCTCATTTGTATTAACTCCTTCTTTCTCATTGATGTCTATTAGTCTCACGGTGTTCATCTTTGCATCATCTTGCAGGTGATGGATTAGTTTTTCCTGCATCCTTGTTGTTTTTTTAAGCGATCCTTTCCTACCTTTTCCCTAGCTGCACCAGCATCTTCAAGATCTGAAACTCTGTGTTCACTTTCACTTAAACCATTTTGCAAGCTTGTGATTGAGATTTTAATTTCCTCTATAGCTTTTTGACTCTGCTTCATGCAATCTATTTCTTTCCTGTATTGCTCATTCAAGGAATCCATCATTCTGCTAATCTCTATTTTTTTGTCAATGTCTTCTTTAGAAGCAGTTATAAATTCTTTAATGCAGTGTTTTTTTCAGATTGGGTTTCCTCCCTATGTTTCTGTAGTTGCTTCTTTACTTCAGATGCTATGAGTTCTGAGAGTTCTTTTTTTATTTCAGAAAAGAATTACGCTCTGAGTTCCTCTATAACTTTGTGCTGTTGCTTATTTACTATCGACGGTATTAATTCATGCATTTGAGTCGAGTTAGCGTCCTCCGCACTTGTTCTGGGTGGGCAATGGGTTTCCTCCATATGTTTCTGCATTTGATTCTTTATTGCAGATGTTATTAATTCAGGGATTTCTTTTTTTTAATTTCCAATCTGAGTTCCTGTATACCTTTCTGCAGCTGTTTATTTCAGAAGCCGTTGATTCATTGCTTTCAGATGTGTGATTCCCAATTTGTTTTGTGTTAGTGTCCTCTGCACTTGTTACTGGTGGGCTTGGGTTCTGAGATTGCATTTTGTTCCTTCTCATCATTTTGTGTAGCACTGTCTTCTGATCTTTACTGTAGATCTTTGTTGCAATTATACCCTTAGCACGTACTGAAGTTCAAGTTCAGATCTACAAAGTTTGAATTTATCCAGCTGTGCCTGGCTTGGGTCTGGCTGCTGTGCTCAGCTCCTTCTTGCTGCTGCCCTTGGGGTGAACCTGTTGTGCCCCTCTGGCAAGATTTTCCACTCCTGGACTAGCTGGGTGGTTCTATCCTCTACATTTTCTGTAGGGATTGCAGCTGCAGGGTTTGACCCCAGGCCCGTATGCCAGGCCTGAGCGGAGCCTGGAGGGCACAAGGTGGAGTGGAAGGAGAGACAGCTCTCCCACACACTCACCAAGCCTGGGCTAGGACTGGGTCTGGGGGTTCCTGGAACGCGGCAGGAATTTCTACTTGGTGGGTGGGGTGGGGGAGGTGCTGCAGTGTGGTGGGGGGCATCCCAATGAGGTGTAAGAGGGCCTCACCCACACTGCAACTGGGCTGGGACCAGTAGTAGGTCCCGCTGGCGCAGGGTAGCTGGAATCTCTCCCACACACTCACCGGGCCTGGGCTAAGGACTGGGTCTGGGGGTTCCTGGAACGCGGCAGAAATTCCTCCTCGGCGGGCGGGGTGGGGGAGGTGCTGAGGAGTGGTGGGGGGCGTCCCAAGCAGGTGGAAGAGGGTCTCACCCATGCTGCACCTGGGCTGGGACTAGTAGTAGGTCCTGCCAGTGCAAGGTAGCGGGAAGCTCTCCCACACACTCACCGGGATTGGGCTAGGGCTCTCCTACTTATTTCTTAAAAGACAAAAGAATTATACAATCTCCAGAGAATCAAGTACTTATTTATTGTTTCTTTTCTTAATTTTTATTTTTAGGCAGCATCTCACTATTTAGTCCAAGCTTGGCTTAAACTCATAATTTTATAGCCTTAGCTTCTCAAATGCTGGAGTTATAGGCATGTACCAGATTAACAGTATCTTTCGATGGGTAAAAAATTTTATATCTTATAAGAACCAACTTATGTTTTCTCTTTCTAATAGCTTGTGAAACTCTCCAAGTTCAGTAAATTCTCCTGTAATTTTTTTTCTGCAAGCTTTCTGTTGTTAGCTTTATGTGTAAGTTTATAGTATAGTACATTTCAAACTGATTTCTCTATTCAGTTTGAAACAGGAGCAGAGGTTCGTTTTTGTCCACAGAGATACCCAGGTATGCCAGCAGCAGCATTTCTTAAAATGATTTTCCTTTCCAGGTTGAACTGCCTTTGTCCTAAGTCATTTGACTGCACTCATGTGAGTCTATTTTATGGCTACTCTGAAATCAGATTTCTTTGGTTTATTTGCTTATCCTTTTGCTAATGCATTCTTTCTTTATTACTATAGCTTTAAAGTGAGTCTTCATACCAAGTAGGGACAAGTTTGCCAAATTTCTATCTTAACAGCAATGAACTTTTCAATTTGTAAATATGACATTTTTCTCCCTTCATACACATTTTCCTAAATTTCTCTTAACAATGTTTTGCAGTTTTCAAACATACTATTATTTTCATTTCTTTCTCTTCATGTATTTGGTACAGGATCTCACTATATAGCTTGGACTTGTAGTGATCCTCCTGTTTTCAGCCTCCCCAGCACTGGGATTACAGGTGTGTACCACCCAGCCAGACTCAGTAACAGCTCAGCACCCAAGGCCAGGGCCGGTGTGGCATGCGGGACTGAGGCATCCTGGTCCTTGCGCTTACCAAAGCAGGTGCTTAGTCCACCGAGCTAACTCGCCAGCCCTTCAAACTTAATTTTGTTGTTTGATACAAGTCACTCTGATACAAGTCATGCTAGTCAAGTACTTCAACTGGTTAGTGCTTCTAAATTTTCTGAAAAATTCTGACTAGAGGTATATCTGTTTCTTTTGTTTCCAATAATAAGGGGAAGTGGTTTTAATATTAATTTTTAAGTGATACAATATGAAACATTTTTTGCTAGGTTCTTTTCATCACAGTAAGGAAATCTACTATATTAGTGAAGAAGTTTTATCATAAATAGGTGCTGTGTTTTGCCTAATGGTTTTTCTGCATCTATGGAAAGGATCTTAAACTTTTCTTCTACAAACTATGAACATGGTGAATTATACTGGCTCATTTTCATGTACTAAATTTAAATAAATTTGTGTTCCTAGGGTAAATCCCACTTGATCATGGAATATTATTCTTTTTATGTATTGCTGGAATTTATTTGCTAAATATTTTTGCATCTATGTTCATGAGAAATTTTGGTAAGCAATTTTTCTTGTAATGCCCTTATATTGCTTTGGTATGAGGCCATAGTAGCCTCATAAAAATTACCTGGGGAGTGTTTCTTCTTGAATTTTCTGAAATAGTTTGCAGCAGACTGATTCTTTCCTTCCTTTCTTCTTTCTTTTTTTGTATTTAGTACAGGGTCTACAGGGTCTCACTACACAGATCTGACTCGTGAGACTCCTGTTTTCAGCCTCCCATGAGCTGGGATTATAGGCATGTGCACAATGTCCAGTCTCAATCGTGGCTCAGTATGCCCCAGGGGTGGGGCTGGCACTGCACCCCAGGGATTGAACCCAATCCTTGTATCTGCACTATTTCTTTCTTAAGCATGATAGTATTTCAACAGTGAAGCCACTGGGGCTTGGCATTTTCCTGTGGATGGATATAAATATATATATATATTGGCACAAGCCTGCAACTCCAGCACTCAGGAGGCTAAGATAGGAGGAGAGAGAGAAAATATTAAAGGAGAGAATATTAAAGGTAAACTGAAGTCTCCTTCATCCCTAAATCTATTCCCTTTTTTCTGTCCCTGAGGTATCCTCTCCTTTGAGTATTACTCATTTACATAATTATTGTACTGAAATAATAACTAATTTCTGTGCTCTCCTGGATCTCCTCTTCACTTACCATGTTTCCTGCTTCTGCAGCCAACCGGGCAGCATAGCGCGCTATAAGCCGGTGTTCCTCATCCAGTCGGGTAGGACTGTCCAGGACACTGCCAAGAAGATAAAAATATTCAACAGGTGTCTATTAAACATTCCCAACTCTTGTTCCATTCTTGCAAAGAACAGATAGGAAAAAAAGCTTATAAATAAGGAGAGTAACAAAAGAAATGAAGACTTGGGTCATAGACACTCATGGTTTTCTGAGAAAAAGAGGAATTTAGAGAAAAAGACAAGGGTTGAATGTGTCATTCTTCCTCAGCAGTACATCTCCCTGCTCTCACACTACTGAAGGGGCACTTTGTTTTAAATGAAGGACTGAGGAAAAAAATATAGCACCTACAGTCTATTATAGAGATTTCTAAACAAATGTTTGGGGAAATTAATGACATAGTAGGCCTAGATCTTAATCTCAAAAAGACCAGAAGAAAATTACAGCATCATGAAAAACAAAAGGGCAAGAAAAAGTAGAATTAACACTAGCTGAACAAAAGTGGAAAACCCTGACCATGGATGGACACATAAGCTAGAGAAAATTTCTCTTTTACTATGTTTGTTTTACAACTATGGTCTTCTCTTAGAGTGAATTAGTTTTGCCTGTTATTCTTTAACAAGAAGAGTCAGCATCCTACAAATGCAAAGTCCTGTTCACTTCTGAGTGAAAGATGGGTTCTTGAGTAGCAAGCTCATTCCATCTATACATATGACTTCTTTAATCTAGCACTTTATGTCAACTACTATATACCCATATCAAGGCAGCCCTCAATCAACAGGGACTGCTGTGGCTAATAATTCTCTTTAAGTCTGGCAGAAATTTTAGAGCAACAGTGATGACAAGACTGACCAGAGAAGGCTGTTGTGGCATGGCTCTACTTTGGCCCTAGGGTTCCTGAAGTTTCCCAAAATTCTTAATTAGAATTTTGCAGTATGATAAGTAATATGTAAGAATTAAGTCCAGTACTCACCAAATCTTGTTTTATAATGACTGAGGGGAATCTGGGAAGACTGAAGTCAAGTCAGTGAAGATCTTTTTTTTTTCTAGAACCATATTTTTTTCTTTAATATAAAAATAAAACTTCGTCTGCCCCTTAGCTGGGGCCAGGAAGATGACTCAGTAGAATAAGCGCTTCCCTGGCAAGCGCAAGGGTCTGAGTTCTATCCCTGGTTCCATAAAAAACAAAACAAAACAAAACAAAACACCAAACTTCCTGTATTTTTATCTCTGTGACCAATTCTTCTAAGCTTAACTTTTCTGTAGGACGGATTTTTTTTTTTAAATGAGCTTTAAGTCAGCTAGCTACAAAATCTATTAACATTCTACAGTTGTAGCTGTGAAAACATGGGCTTCCAGCATGTTATAATTGTCCCTTTTAAAGATGATGGCATACTGAGATTAGACTATCATCAGTTGGCTTTAATGCTTTAGGTTAAAGACCCTATGATCAAGAATACATTGTAAGATTTGAGCTGTAAAGTGTTGGCTTTAAACAAGATAAAAATTATCTTTTAAATGAAAATAACAAAAATGAATGCTTAGTAGGTATATAATATTATAGAGGAATTAGCAGCCTAAAAAGTGGGATGTAAAGAAGCTGACTTCTGTAAAGGCAAAGGATACAGTGAGTTCCTTTGTACAAAAGAACTCCTTCCTTTCCTAACACATCCTATCTCTCCTATATGCCTGTTACACATGTGTGGATGACATGGTTGCTTTATTACCCAACTCCCTAGTCAGAAACTTGAGTCTTGTATTAGTGAGAGGTTTTACGGCCAATGAAAATTATCTGAAGGCAACTAGAAAGAATCCTTATTGTTCTGTTTCATTATTGTTTCATTATTGTTCTGTTTGAATTGACTTATATTTTCAGATTTAGCCAGCAAATTTCTAATTTTTTAAAGGCAATATAGTGCTCAGTTCCTTAAACTATAAATCAAGACATGCAGTACTCACCCACTCATGTTCTCCTGGGCCTGCTGGCCATCAGTTTCTGATCAGGGAGCACCTAGGCATTAAGACTTGAGGACCTTGGCTAAATCTACTATAAACCATTGTAAGCTAAAATATCAGGCAGTAATTCTTGCCAAGATTCTCCTGCTATTTTTACTGTAGTAGCTTCATATCACCTTAGACAACTGCTCTTATTGTTAAAAAGTAATCTGCCCTGCCTAGGCTAAAACAACTCTACTTCCAGAGATTAATCTGGAAGGCTGGGATAAGCATGCAGAACCACCTGGTGGATGGAGATGATGCCCTCTGTGGCCTTTCTTCCCTCCTATATAACAGTCCATTAAGCCCACCTGGGAATCTGAAAGGTTAGCACTCCTCCAGGAACTACAGGAGATAGTATGAAATAAAGTATTAAAAAGGTCCCCCCCCCACATATATGATTTCCCCACTGACTGTTCGTCTTCTATCACAGGGAGTAGGAATGAGCTCAAATGATTTTCCCAAGGGCATGCTATGAGCAAAACTAAGATCAAAATCTAAGGCTTTGGCTGTGTTTTTACATATATAATAGCTTATAAATTATGTTTTTCTCCCTCAAGAGTCTCAAAGCAGAGCTTTACAAGCAGTTTGGCACTGTTACTCCTCTTTGCAACTTTGCAGAAAGAAGTGATGAAGTTAGGCTATCTAAACCTTATCTGTCATTGCTCTTGGAATGGTGGTGATATAAACATGAAGTGGATAGGAGCTTTTGGATATGCCTGAATATAATGTCACTTTGTTTAGTACTAACTTGCTATTCGTTTTGGATTTCTTTGTTGGTTGTCTTTTTGAGACAGAGTTTCATTATGCAGTTCAAGCTGGTCTTGAACTCACTTTGTAGCCCAGGCTGGCCTCGAATTCACAGAGATCCTCCTCCCTCAGCCTCCTGAATGCTGGGATCACAAGAGTGCACCACTACATCCAGCTGATTGGTATTAACTTTAAAAAAATGATTATCTTTCCTCTAGTTAGTGTTTATTGAATATTTTTTCCACTCCAACCCATGAAGGGATCATTTACATACCCATATTAATAGCAAGTCATTATCTTAGATTTCAAGGTGAGAGAGATGGGACCATTGTAATACACATGATTATAATATACGACGTATATGTAGTTTGTTAAAAAGTCTCTGAGGTGATAATGATCCAACCCACTGTTGAAAGTCAATTGTTTAAAGAATAAACAATGTTAGGTTTTTGCTAACAGATTAAGTGTGGTACAAATGTAATACGGTAATTGTATTGAAGTCCCCTTATTAGACAATGGAGATATCTATGGATTGATTAGCCTTAAACTTTGAACATTAATGGAAACATTTTATTATTTAGGTAAGAATGAACAGGAAGAGAATGCATATGATACCTCTGTGAATGCTAGATCTTTTGAACTCTCTATCTCAGAGGTGTATGCACTCTTCCAGTATAATCTATAGAGGCCAAACCTCACTTTAGTGGAGATTTTCTAGCTACATGTGTAGGTAAGTGCTAGGCATGGCAAGGATCCCTCTCTCTTGGAAGCTAATGCTTCAGTAATTATTTTAACACCTCCATTTATAGCTGGTGGCTATACAAAGATGACCCCACTTGCAGAGCTTCTCCCACTGGCAACTGCAGAAACCACCACCCGTTTCCCCAAATTAGCCCTAGCCACCCGCCTAGTGTTGCTGCACTACCACTGACCGTGCACAGTGCTGCAGACGGGCCACATAGGAGGCTATCAGCGCATGCTCATCGGCCAAAGGACTGGACATGTCCTGGCTAAACTGTAACCTGGGAATGATGGAAGCAGAGACAGCAAGCATGACATAAACACATATAGAGAGATGAACATGGATTAAAATGAGAAAACTTAAAAATACAGACAATAATATCATGATAACAATAAGAAAACTATAATGTATGGTGAAATACAGTCAGACCATTAGGAATCTATCCCACAGACCCTTTAAATAAAAGCAGGCTCTAGCTGACTGACACCACAGCCCTCAAGGAGAGAAAGCTGTCTTTTAAAATTATTAAGTGACTCCCATGTAACATACTTCTGTAGCTTTTTCTACATTTAAAGATTGTCAGTGTTGCCTCATACTACCAGTAAATATTCTCATTTCTATGGCTACTATTTTTAGCATCAGTTTCTCTCCTAAACTGGTACTTGAACCTAAATTATTAGAATTGTTCCTAATTATAAGACAGTACTGTGAGGCTCTCTCTTAAGTGCATGGTCTTTATTATTCTAAAACATATTTTTACTATAGGGACATGAAATCGAGTAATATAATGACTGACACTAATGTACCTATCACCAAACTTGAACAAATACAAAATCTTTCAAAAATTTTGTTTGTTCTTCTCCCTATAGCTTTATTTGTGCAGAAAGAGGTGTTAACACAAATTCAAGGTAATTATTTCACTCAGGAATCATTGACCCTGTATATCTGTCAGACAGTAAGAACACTTCACACCAAAAAAATTAACAAGTGTTTTAAATATCTCAGTTCACCTAAAAAATACAAATTACAAAAAATCTCTTTTTCCAGTTAAAATCAAGATTCAAATAAATGGTTGCTATGTTCCTTTTACATTTGTATTTGATTAATACATTTCTAATTTTAATCCAAAGAGTTTTCTCCTTTCCCTGTCCATCTTCTGACACTTATTTGTGAAGTAATAATGTTATGTTGTAGAATATCTTACATCCTGGATTTGACAGGATCCTCTATGGTATCCTTTAAGTTGCTTTTCCATCCTGAGATTAGATCTAGTTGCTTCACTAAAGCTTTGTTTTTGAGAAGTAGTAAGAATCAGTTGTAGTAAGAATCAGAAGTAGTAAGAATCTCAAATGTTACACTAACAATTGAGAAAAGGAGGCACATAATTGAATGGATTATAGATACTGATTAGTGGGTTCAGGAGTTATTGGTCCTATTTCTCCATCAGAAGTCCCCATCAACTTTCTACCTAATGGTTTTAGCATTTTTTGATGAGTCTTGCTTAGATCCATTATTTTATTAGGGATTGGAAAACATCAATTTTTCTGATTTTATCCTCCTTTCTGCAAGTGTCCATTTCCTTTGTTTCTCTTGAAGATACTACTCACTCAAAGGAAAAACAAAAGTTGATATCCTCTATTATTTAACAAATCTCAACAAAATGAGTTAGTAGCCTTCAGTGGTTAAAAAGAAATTTCTTTTTTAGTAACACTATGAACTCAGACTTTTATGCATCTGAGGTGCCTTGATCCATTTCAATCTTCTTCTTTTTAAATTTAGGACATGGTACACAGGGTCTCACTGCATAGATTGAACTTGTAGTGATCCTCCTGTTTTACAGCCTCCCAAGTGCTGGGATTACAGGAGTGCACCACCATGCCCAGGCTCAATTGGTGTCTCAGTGTGCCCTGGGGGTGGGGCTGGCATGGCAGGCCTGGGGATTGAACCCCTGGCCCCTGCCTCTGCCTAAGCAGGCGCTTTAATCCGCTGAGCTATTTGGTCGACTCCATTTCAATCTTCTTTTTTTTTTTTTTTTTCATTTCAATCTTCTTGAGAGAGTCTCACTATGTTAATTGATCTAGTCTTAAATTTGTGGGATCAGGTATCCTCTTGCCTTAGCCTCCCAAATGGTCAGGAGTACTGAAATATACTATTGTGGCTAGTGATCTCTCTCTCTCTCTCTCTCTCTCTCTCTCTCTCTCTCTCTCTCTCTCTCTCTCTCGGGCCTTGTTATATAGTCAGCGCTGACCTTCAATTTGTGATCCTTCTGTTCTTAATCATCATCTGGCTCTCAACCATTGTCTTCATGCTCAAAGTATTCTACCTTTGGCCAGAGGGAGCCCTCATAAGGAAGCTTCTATGTTCTTTGAAATATCCATTAGGGCTTACTAGTTTCCTTGCTTTATCGCATAAACTATTCCTATTTCATCTTGTATATATTCTGTAGCAGATCTGAAATCAACCATTTTTCCAAGAGGAAACCCATGATTTCCTTTACTGGAAAAAAAGTACTTAGAAACCACAATCAGGGTATTGGGTGCTTATTGTTCCTGCCCCATCACTGCTTATAGGTTTAGTGGATAAAGGTAAGAAATGTGTATATTTTAGAAAAAAGGTTGGGCATGCTAATCTCAGCACTCGGAAGGCTATGGCAGGAAGACTGCCACGAGTTTAAGGCCAGCTTGAGTTACATGGCAAGTTCAAGGCCAGCCTGAACTACAGAGACCTCAGTCTCTAAAACCAAACCTCTCCTAACCAAACCAAAACAGAACAAAGTTCTCTAAGCACTTTTTTTTGTTTATTATTATTTTTTATTTATTTATTATTTTTCAACAAATAATACACTGCATATATTCTTCTTAGTGGTTAATTGCTGTACAAGATGCGGACTTGTGATCCTATTTACAAACTCCATTAGAACAAATCATTCTATTCATTAACAGAATGTAACTATATATCTATCCCAACCACTTTGAATACACAGATACAAAATGGACATTCATCTGTATACCCCATTTTTTCTAAGTTCCGTTATTGAATATTATAGGTGTGTAAACTCAGCAAAATATTCTAAAAGAGTCCAGTAGCCCATAATAGCATTGGGTCTTCTGTTTAACTGGCAATGTCAGAAATTATTGACCTGAGTCCCCCACAGCTCAACTTAACAGCATGGCTTTATTTCTTCTCTCTAAGCACTTTTAAGGCACTATTCCATTTTCTTTTGGCTTCCATGATTTTCTTTCTTTTTTGGTGGAACTGGGGATTGAACTCTGGCCCTTGTGTTTGCCAGGCAAGCACTTATTCTACTGAGCTATCTTCCCAGCCCCTGGCTCCCACTGTTTTCAATGACAGGCATTGAAATGACAGGCATTCAATGACATTAATGTTCTTCTCATTGTTATTCCCCTGTATATAACATGCTGTGGTCCTGCCCACTCCCAACCACCCCAACCCCTGCACAGGAGGCCAAGAAGGAATAGAAGGGAAACTAGGAGAGCATAATATGTACAAAATAAGGGCAAAATTGTTTCAAGAATAAAGGAGAGATCATTTATGACAAATGGCCAATGATAGATCAAGTAAGACAAGCACTGAGCATGAACTACTGCTGTACAAGTCAACGAGGTTTCTTTGACAAAGATAATTCTATCAGAATAGTAAAAGGTAGAAGTCTGGAGTGTGTATGATTTGTAGAGAAATTTATTCGTAGAGAAATTTGTAGAGAAACTGAAATAGCCACTTACTGTTTCAATAAGTTCTTCTGAAATGAGAAGAAGAGATACACAGATGTAGCTGGGAAGAAAAGAGGCCAAACCCAGGACTTTTTATTCAGGAGATAGGAGGGGAGGGAAAGAGACATAAAAAAATTTGAGATGTGTTATGTGTACGAACTCCCCATGATGAACGTAATCGTCATACATTGTAAACATGTACTAATAATAAAAAATTTAAAAGGAGAAATAGCAGATTTATGAGTTGATAGAGAACATCTAGTTGAGATACATGTAAAAAGATGGTAGAGGAAGTAGAAGAGAAAAATTCTTATCAGAAATCCTTACTTGGTGAGGGACGATGAATGAGGTCCAGTGCAACGTGCAGGCCCATCTACCAGGACATATAACCACGTGTGCAGGTACAGGCACAGGTGGGGAGGTGAATAAAGCAGAAGCTTACAGAATTTTTCTTTTTTTTATTAGTGAAACAGGAAGCAATAAGCCACTAAACACTAGTTTAGGTTTACAGGAAGACTGCTATTCAAAACTAGTGTTATTTGCCAGTTAACTAACAACACAGACCAAAATGAGAAGTATTATAGTATAGCTACATGTAGTAGTAAGGGACATAAGTGTCCATGAATTTTCTAATACTTTTCTTTGGGATGATGTGACATCCTGCTTATAATCCAAGCTGCATCTATTTTCTCAGTCATTTTAATTTTGATTCTTTCTTTTCTGATAAAATATACATGTTACAGTTTAAATCTACAGTGTCTACCAAAAGTCTCATGTGTTTGGAAAGTAACTGGATAATGGAGAGCACTGTGTTCATCAGTGGATTCCTTTTATTCTCTATTCCCACATCCCAGTTTCTCTTCTTTTCTGAAGTTTCCTCCCATTTTACAATATCTACTATACAATCTTGATTTTATTCACTCTTTCCACTTCTCACATTAGGGAGACAAAACGATGTTTACAAATGTGAGTCTGATTTAATCCATTTATGAGGATGGTCTAGAATTCTATCCATTTACCTATAAAAATCTCCAGTTCATCCTTCTTTATGGCTGAGTAGTACTCCATTGTATAAAAACTCACATCTTGTCTTGTTCCTGATTTTTTTTTTTTTTTTGGTGGAACCAGGGATTGAACTCTTGTTCCTGATTTTAAAGAGAAAGTTTTCAGCTTCTGTCTATTTAGTATATTCACTGCTGGTTTGTCATACATGGCTTTTGACACATTGAGGTGAATATCATCTATTTCAACTTTCTGTAAGCTTTTTCACCTGAATGAGTGTTACTCTTTGACAAGAGCTTTTTCTCCATCAATTGAGACAATCATATGGTTTCTGTCCTTGGCTCTGTTAATAAGATATATTACATTTATTGAACTACATACACTAAAAGACCCCTGCATCTCTGGAATGAATCCAACTTGGTCGTAGTGTATAATCTTCTTGATTTGCTGCATTCTGTTTGCTAGTATCTTACTGAGGATTTTGCATCTATGTTGATGAGGGAAATTGGCGTGTAATTCTCTTTCTTACTTGGATGCTTCTCTGGTT